TTTGATAAAAGATTTCTAGAAATGATTTGGAAAATATTACTTTTCTTTTAAAATTAATTGACATGAAGATTTTTCAGAAAATTTTAAAAATTTGGAGTTTTTAATCGCAATTGACAAAAGTTTCATGAAAAGTATAAATTAATTACTTGCCAAAAGTGGCTTCATCTTGAACTAAAACTTTCTCAAAGTGCAAGAATATCTCGGTCCGTTGAATATCAACTTTTCAACACGGACATTTCTTGAGACCAGACATGAAACCAATTTCGAGAGGAAATAAAGTGTCTAACACTTTACGAAAATCTTCCGGGAAGACGAAAACCTTCCGGTAAGGTTTTCATCGCCGATCCAAGCGGGAGCGACGTGCATCAGTGATCGCAGTAGTAATACACACTAGATAATTGCCCTTTTAGCTTGATTACACTATGAACATTTCGGTCTGCTGAATATCACTCTTGCAGCACTATATGTCCTTGAGACCAAAAGATAATGCATGTAAACGAAATTTGAGAGGAAGAAGTATTTGCAACGAAGGGGAGGTTTTAGTCGCCCATTAGGAAATTTAAAAAATTTAGTTTCTGCCTTGAAGGTTATACCTTACAAGAGAATAGGAACAAACTTACTCTATTCAGGGCTATGTATTTTGGTTGTTTGTTAAACAACGCCATAACAGGTGGTTTAGAGCTTTAACTAAAAAAAAAACAACAATTTTCTAGATCTTCATAACAACATTTTAAAAAAAATTGATGCATAGAAAGGAATAAACCAACCTTGGTTTCCCATCGCTTCAAAATTGCTTAGAGAGTTTTGTTTTTCAAGAAATACTATTTTGAATACAGATGAAGTGCATACGAGTTCTGTAGCACTTTGTAATAATCGTCACACTTTGTAATACCTGTCGGATTTTGCATTAACTTTTGTTGCAACTTGTAATTATATGCTGTCCCACTTTGGCACCTGAGCTGGCGTAAAGTTAAACATTGTCGACGTTATTTTTATGATCGATAAGTTTTTTAAGGAATGGAAATTGTGGTCGATTTTTAAGTTGAAATGGCAAGAAAAACTTGCCAATCTGTGTTATTTTCCGGTTAAAAAAATGAAAAAAAAAATTTCGGCCGTAAATTTTCGGCTAAATTTGAGAGGAAGAAAGATTCGCAACGAAGGGAAGGTTTTAGTCGCCCACCCAAGTGGAAGCCACGCGCATCGGAGATCACAATAACAAAGACGCGCCAAATAATCTCCCTTTCGGCGTGGTTACATTTAAAAGACATATTAGGAAATTCAAAAACTTCAATTTCTGCCTTGAAGGGTATACCTCACAAGAAAATAAGGACAAACTTACTCTCTTCAGCGCTATGTATATTGGTTTTTTTGTTCAACAACGCCATGACAGGTGTTTTAGAGCTTTAACTAAAAAAAAACCCACAGTTTTCTAGATCTTGATGAACAGATTTTTTAAAAAAATTGATGCATAGAAAGGAATAAACCAGCCTTGATTTTCCTATAGGTTCAAAATTTCTTAGAGAGTTTTTTTTTTAAGAAATACTATTTTGGATACAGATGAAGTGTATTCGCGTTCTGTAGTACTTTGTAATAATAACTTTTATCGCAACTTATTCACTTATTTACGTAATTAAATGCTGTCTCACTTTGACACCTATGCTGGCATAAGGTTAAACATTGTCGACGTTATTTCTATGATCAATAAGTTTTTAAGTAATGGAAAATTGTTGTTGACTTTTGAGTTGAAATGACGAGAAAAACTTGCCAATCTATATTTTTTCCGGTTAAAAAAATTAACCAAAATTTTCCTCAGTAAACTTTCGGCTAAAAATCGACGGGAAGGCAGAAATTATTTTCTAATCAGTTTTTTGTTTCACGCGTAGCACATATCTTTCATTGCTAGTCGCTCTTCAGCTGCAGCGTGCGAAGCGCACTGGCTGAGTCCTCGTACTTAAGAAAACCTTCATGATGGCATGCCCTACACCACGACGCTTTCCCAAACTGCATTTCGTTCCTTTAAATATCAGTTTTTCTGCACGATAGGTCTTGAGACTAAAAGATGATGTATGTAAACGAAATTTAAGAGGAACAACGATTTGCAAAGAGGGAGAGTTTTTAGTCGACCATTTAAGTAGGAGCCAGGCATTAACAAAGACAAACATCAGATATTCTATTTGCTCATTAACACCAAAACAGGTGGTTTCTTCCCCTAGCTAAAATAACATAGAGTTTTACAATTCAGGCTGAACATATTTTCATATATTTTATATATAAAGTGACATAAGCCAACCAGAGTTTTCAAACAGGTTTAAACCTGTTAAGATTGCAGGGCAAGTAAAAAATCCGATATTGCCTACCGATGGAACACACAGTTGTAGTGTGAAAATTACCTCGTAATAAAAAACACTTTATTTTTAAGAAACTCAAGATTCATATTAAAGTCTGAAAATTTTCTTTTTAAAGCAATTTTATGGTAAAATGATCTCTTGCATCACATCTTACGCGAAACGATAAGTTTGAAACCTAATTGATTTATCTTTTAGCTATCTTTTACGAACTACCTTAATACCAAAAGCCCTTTTAATGTAAAAGGCTATCATGAAGATCTAACAGCAACAATTTTTTCCCGTTATTTATTCTGTTATCAGGGAAGTCACTTTAAAAGGTTTTTTTTGTGTTTCATTAACTAACGGACTGAAAGTAGTATTGTTGTTTATTTTATTTTCTTTTTAATTTTTTTTTTTTTTTTTTTTTTTTTTTTTTTTGTGCTGACCCAAAGTGTTTTTAAGGTACACTAATAAATTCTGTAATATCTGATATGTATCGCTCTAGCAGTAGTATTCACGTTTCTGATCAGAGTATAAGTATTTCTCGAGCTGAAATTCTGATGACATTTTTTCTTTCTTATGAATCCAATGCCTCCAGATTTTGGCTGCCGAAGTCTTAGGTTTAAGAGATCAGAAGGAGAACGTGCTCCTCAACGTTACGTATTTAAAGAAATTTACTTGCCAATGGGGGAGGAGCTCATGACTCATGACTGCAGATATGAGTGCCTCATCGAGAGCAATTGTTTGTCTGTGAACATCGGCCCACCAAACAAGACAGGCTTCAGGCTCTGCCAACTGAGTAATTTTGACCACGCCCAACATCGTGAAGATAAAGAAATAAAAAAAGGTTTTATTCTCTGGGCCTCTGAGGTAGGATTTTACTTTACATTACAATACAATCGTCTGAAATCAGCTTGAATGTTTTTGGTCAAGTATAGATGCTAACAGGCGTTTTTCTATCCTATCAGAATCCATGCTCCAGTAATCCTTGCCTCCATAATTCCACCTGTCTCAATGGATATACCGACAAGAGATACATTTGTCTGTGTCCAGATGGTTACACGGGAGAAAACTGTGAAAAAGGTCTCACTAATATTCTTTTTTAATGTTCTGAAGGTTCTTCATCCAGCTTGCGGATAAGCTCATATCAGTCCTCATTGTTTTCTTTGTTTAGATAGAAACGAGTGTATTGACAACTCTCATGACTGTCATGCCAAAGCTGTTTGTAATAATACCGAGGGATCATTTACGTGTAGCTGTACAGAAGGTTATCAGGGGAACGGTCGGAATTGCACAGGTGAGATTCATAGATATTCATAGAGACATATTAATAATAATGAAATATTTTCATAGCATCATATCCAATGGCTTATGGCGCTTTACAAAGCCTTGTTTGGCACTTTGGCCAGACTGCATTGAACAGTTTACAATTTTTGAAGGAAACTTTTGCGAATACCCCCATTTTAAGAATTAAGGCTGTCGCGTACCCAATGCAGCGGACACGGGGTGTTGTGCACTGGAGTTCGGGGAGTATCACAGTGTAGGAATCCACAACACAAGTTGATTCAACAACGTTTAATGCTGTCGTCTGACTATGGTACACATGCGGTGAAAACTAAAAAAGGGAAATTGTAATGTACAAGATCAAAAAATGGGATGAGACTGATAACAAAACAAATGAAGTCGAAGAGAAAGGAAACTAAATACAATAAGCTGAGACTTACCTCTGATCCTGTCTTTACGGGCTTAGAGAAACTGCAACGTTACCTAACTGGAAGAATCTTGTGTAAAAAGAAACTCTGATCTATCTCCGTCGATCTCTTAACTCCAACTGACTGGATACTTAAGGGGCGTACCGCTATAAGGGTATACTTCACGTATACAATCGCAAATCGGGTTTATTAGGAATGCTAGCCAGGTAGTTCAAACTGTAAACAATAGTACACTTGGAAAGTTGGGGCGTAAACTCGACAAATTTTTGCAGATACCCTCATTTTAAGAATTAGGGCCATACCACAACACTAGCAGCTATGTTCCCTAATCTCTGCAATAAGTGTATGAATTATTTAACGATGCAGTAGAAGGGGCGGACGGTTTTTTCTTCCTCATCCGAGAAGACTAAAATGTCTAGCCATTTGCGCTGAGAGTGATTTATCTGAAGACGAAAACAAATTACGACTAATATCTATCACAGTCAAGTTTGCTAAAAAAAATTGATGGATTTTCAAACTTTTTAGATGTGGACGAGTGTACCAGCCACATCCATGGCTGTCACTATAATGCAAGTTGCAATAACACAGACGGCTCTTACACATGCAAATGCAAAACGGGATTCAATTGCAGTAAGTATAAGAAATGTTGTTTGATTTTTTTTTAATAGTTTTTTTCAGAAGTTTAACTGATAACGATTTGCGTGATCCACTTGAAACGGCGCCGGACATAAACTCTGATAAAATGTGCGTTTAAAACGAATACTTACCTCAATCATTGCAGCTCAGACAGATACTTTATCATTCGATGTAAATCGTGACAACGGGAAATACTAATCCTATGCAAGCACACCTTCCCTCTACCAAATCAACACTGAAACAACCTGAAATCTACGAAATCGAGGTCGTACGAATTACATTTAATGGGCTTAGGATTCTATCAGGGCAATGACCAGGAACTAAATAAGACGAGTTTTCCATAGATTTCGCTGAAGTGGTTCATTTCTTGATATGTTTATACAGGAATCCGCCCGAAAACCCCTTAAAGGGGAAGACTCCTCCTGTGATAAGTAACCCGTACCCTAAATTTTCCTCCAAACAGTCAAAATAATTTCAAATTTCTCAGAGTAGGAAAACTTAAGATCTGAACTGCCCTTAACGAGCTTAATGTTATGTATTTGTTCTCTCAGCTGTTTAAACTGATCAGACGACCAGCTGCCAGACTAAACATAAACATTCGTGATAAAGATGAAATTACAACTTAATAAAAAAATGGATGTCAATTTTACATTTTCCTCTCAGCATTCAAAGCCGTGTTCTCAAATCTCAATGCCACTGGAAGATGTGGTCCAACATCGCTCGGAAGTTACTACGCAGGTAAGGATCATGACAGACAAGTTGCTTTGTCCAGCGGTATTCAACAGTGGACTGTGCCGCACACTGGCGATTACAGAATAGAAGCAATAGGGGCAGCTGGAGGGTACGATCAACGGATTAACAGCTCTCAGTATCGCGGAAGAGGAGCAAGAATGATTGGAACATTCCGCTTAAACAAGGGTGAAGTCATCCAGGTACTTGTAGGTCAAGAAGGAGGAATAAACAAGAGGTCTTATTCTTCTGGAGGTGGTGGAGGTACATTTGTAGTGAGAGGAGCCAACACACCTTTGATAATAGCTGGAGGCGGAGGAGGGGTAGTACGTGTATATTCAAGACATACAGAATGTGACGCCAGCACAAGCACGACAGGGAATCCTGGGTACAGATCATGGCCAGGGGGGAGCAATGGACATGGTGCACAGACTGCTGATAATGGACCATCAGGTAAGAATATTTTTCAATAATCTTTAGCATTTCAGCATTTTGGTAGTAATTTAAAAATTTCGTACGAAATGTTTATTCTGCCATAATCTCACGATATCCCCATTAAAAGTTTTCTAATTAATTAATATCATGATATTTCAGGTGGTGGTGGTGGCGGGTTTTACTCCAGTGGAAGAAGTGGAAAGAATTTCAATGGGACCAAGGGATATGGTGGCGAGGGTGGTAAGGGATTTCTGCAGGGAGGGGTGGGTGGGAGATCAGAGTATTTCGACGTCTATGGTGGGTTTGGCGGAGGAGGTGGAGCTGGGGGACGGTGGGAAAATAAAAGGAGGAGAGGAGGAGGAGGAGGAGGAGGAGGAGGAGGAGGATACTCTGGGGGAGGCAGTGGAAGTGATTATGCAGATTCCTGTGGGGGTGGTGGTGGATCCTACAATGTTGGAAACAATCAGCAGAATGAATGTTGTTACAACAAGGCTGGCCATGGTCAGGTGACCATCACACTACTGTAGAAAAAACAACCGAACCGCTTGCCATCCAATGCATAGGTGATTTTAATCCTTTAAATCTCAAGATCTCATTAGTAATTCTCATTACTGTCTGCCAAATGATTCTCATTATGTTAGCTTGGAGAATTTGGTATCAGATCAATTAGTAATCCCACAATTTATATTTGTCTTTATTCTCATCACTTGTCTGCATGATATTGTATGGATATAGTAAGGAGAAATTCTGTCTTGGTCACTCATGGGAGTTAAAGGGTTAATAGAGATTAGATATGACAACAAGTTAGATAATGTTATGGAGCTTGAATATTCATAATGATTAGACTAAGAATCTTGAGGGGAAAAACAGCTCATGTTATTCTACATTACAATTAGCGACAAAGTTGTTGACACATTACGGTTGAAGATCAATTCTGGAATAGTAGACCAGTTTTATTCCTCATAGCATTTCACCCACTCGTCCACAGCACAACATTGCATTTTTTTTTCTTCTGTCTGTGATGGAAAAACGGCATTTCATTGACTTTAGTGCTGTAAGATTTTGCACTTTTTTTTTATAAAATTGAGTGGGTGACGGGGTGTTGTAGTAAACCCTGTACATTAAAAAAATATTTAATAAAACATCCTTAAAAGCGATTACGTGAATGTTATGTGTCAACTAACCTTATCGCCGAATGTAGATCCACTCAGGAGCCAATCTCGTAGTTCTTGATCCATTGTAAAATACCATGTATTCATCCAAATGCCATTGAATCATGTATTCCGTTTGATTATTTGCCATCAGAATTCGGAATTTAAAAGCTTTTTTAGAGGTGCGGCTCAGCATTTTAAAATGTATGCAAATACTGAGATATTTAACAATGGATATGAAAAGAATGTTATTTAAGGAGATAGGCTTTACCATCTGAAAAGAGGTCTCTTTTTATTAAGTTAACTGTATTTAACCCTAGATTTCGATGAATAATTGAACAGAAAAGTCAATTAAAATCACGTGTCGCCTTATACATGTATTTAATTGTTATAGTTAGAACCTAAATGGTAAGATCTTCCTGCCATTGACCAGGAAAGCATTAGATTGACTTTTCACAGCTCTTGACCATCGTTATGACGTTTATTTGTTAAATCATTTTTTTTATTATTTTCGTTCGATCCAGTTTGTTGTTTCCTTCTTGTTTTTGTTCTTGTTTCTTATATCAGAAATACCGAAGGCTTACACAGTCAACAGACATATGGAAGATAGAGCTAAGGAGTCAGCGGTAGGCCGTTGAAATGGAAGATTCATTTTTGAGTGAGAGAGTTGAAAACATTTTGATTAAAAGTTTGACAATATTTACATTAATTTCTTGTATTTACAACTCAAATAAGGTTTGTGTATATAAGTTACTGATTCCATTCAAGTGCGATTATCTCGATCCAAGCTTCAGTCGAGCTTTGTTCTCATAAAGGAGAACATAGGAATAGAAAACCTCTCGTAAAAGCAAAAACTCCGCGAACAAAGTGATATCCGGCCTGGACCCATACGAGAGAGAGAGGAGGGCTTGCAATATCTTTTCACGTGACCTCAAATAGCTCAATCTGTGTAAGAGGCTCTTCTTACAAAAAGAGGAAAAACTTCGGTCCTCCCCTCCCCCCCCCTCCCTCCCCTTCTCTACCCCGCCTAGTGCAAATACCCGGGAAGATGATCGCTCTTGGATCCACTTAACGCATATGACGTAATTCACATTATATTAGTGGAAATATTGCACTTTGATTGTTTTAAAAGCCTTTAAGGTGAATACACTTCAGTTAGTTTAGGTGGTAAATTAAAGCTGTTGCTGCATTTTAAGTGGTTCTAGAAATTTAGTGTCAAGCTATCAATAAAAAAAGTTCTCCAATATATTGTTTAATTGCGTGTCCGTTCCAACATATTCATTCCTTTAAAGACAATGAAAGATTGGAACACTGTACAAAGTTACCCTAGCTTTTTCCTGTGCGAAAGAGAGGGAAATTTAGCTAAAATAGCTGATTAAAAAGAAATGACAGATGAAAATTCATCATAGGGGCAACGTCAACGACTCCCTCTCCCCCTTGTTTTAAGGTGTGGTATGCCACTACTAAAACATCTTTTGTGTCAACTAACTTATCGCCGATTGACCATCTACATAGGAACCATTTTTTCGGTTTTCGATCCATTGTGAGATACTCATGCCATTTCATCTAATTGTTCCCGAACTGGGGACTACGTCATCCGCCGCAACGATTATGGCTTTCATGAAAAATATTTTGAGTTTCAGTTTAAATTGTACCACTCTGTCTAACCACTACAGCAAGTTTTTTCGGAAGTGCCTTCGACAAGGTTTTCTTTCGGCAGATGTTTACAGCGAGAAATTCCCGGATTCCAGATGTTAAGGAAAACTTACTTATTTAAAGAGTTTCAGTTGTTCACTTTTACGCAAGATACATTTGCGTGCTTGCTTCACGATATTCAATGAATTGGCGTAGCATACTAGCTTGACATTCTGTTATATTATATTTATTGATAAGAACGATATCCCAGTCTGATAACTGATCATATAAAAGAAAACCCGAGATTTAAAATATAATGCCGAAAACAAAATCCCAAACAGGTCATACAAAACATCAAAACTGACTCAATTAAAAAAATGATTTTAAACTCACTCTGAGCTTTTGATTTACACTTACCTGTGAAATAAAATTGTATATATAAAAATGTATATATGAATAAATTTCGTACTTAGCAATGAGATCAGCCTCAAATCTCTGAGAGTGACTGGCAGCTAATTTCTCCAAACAGTATCACTGTTGAATGAAGCACAAACGTCATGAGAATTAAGGAAATGATCACAAACTAGTAAAGCTCGTGATTTTAAACAAATTCTCCTTATTAATACCACAGGTTATGTACAAAGAACGATATGGAGAATATACATTTTGATGTTGGGGTTTAAAGGTGTATTTTACCAACTGGTTGTTGTGTTTACTTTGGTTTTGGTTTTACACGCTCTTGCGAAAAGACCTTTAACCCTTTAACTCCCATCAGTGACCAAAAAGGAAATTTCTCCTTACAATATCAATACAATATCAACCAGATAAGTGATGAGAATAAAGGAAAATATCAATTTTGGGATAATTAGTTGATCCAATACTAAATTCTGTGAACTAACATTATAAGAATTGTATGGTTGACAATAAGGAGAATTACAAATTTGATCCGGCAGTTAAACGGTTGAACTCTCTAAAATTAAAGGCGGAGAGTGTGTCATGTTGTTGACAAAAGACGGTCTTTAATGGGGTGATGGCTTTTACGGCTCACGGCTAAATTTTTTCCAATTTACGGCTATCTGTGAAATATATTCATTGTGTTTACCTCAAATTTTCCTCACGTTTAACTTTTCTTTTGCAGCTTACGGCTAAATTTTTGGCCGTTTTACAGCCAACAGTTACTCATTAAAACCGTCAGGGAACACTTCTCCCTTTTTTGTCCCTGTGCTGCATCACGTAACCAGACGGGCTTTAAAATACCACCGTGATCAGGAGGAGGATCCGGTGGCGCGGCTCTCAGCCCACCTCTTCCTTCAACTTCATGTCTTATCTTAAATTCTTCCAAAAACAGAGGGCAAGTTACTACTCAAATGGAAATATCAAAGATTCATATATATTGAAATGGTTCTTAGCTTATTTAAGCTCTAGTGTAACAAAAGAAAACCGTGTTTGAGAACCCCTAATCTCTTACCCAGATCCTACCATATAACTGACGGTTAAAACCGATTGGCCATTGAAGGTCTGGGTACGAGACTTGAAAACTTCCTCAGCCAAAATTCATAGACTCTCCTTAATCCTTTAACCTCCAAGAGTGACCAGAATCTAATTTCTCCCTGCAATAATAAAATGGAATTCTTCACTAAGATCATGAGAATAAAGGAAATGATCACCAAGCCAGGAAGCTTTGTTTGTTAAACAGTCTCCTTATCAGCAGCAGTGGAAATATAAAGGGAAAGTATGGAGATTATTCATTCTGATCTTAGGATGTAAAGTGTTAAGCGTTCGTTAAGCTTGTTATTCGTATTTAACATGAGAGTTCCGAAATCAGCTGAAGAATTAGTTAATAGAATTCTCGATACGCGTTAGTTTCATGATATAAAAATTCCAGATCATCGTCTTTATATTTCATCAATTTATCGCTTCATCAACATTTTTTTTTTCGATTTTTATCTCTTTACTTATTTTTTATGTGATTATTATCATTTTTCTTTCTGAGATTGTCAGGAAGTTCTAGGAGATGACATGGACACTACGTTTCATCGTGTTGTGAGGTTGCGTAGCCTGCGCGCAAATTTTCATTAAAGCTGCGATGCATGCGGCAAACATTTGGACGCTATAGGGAAAAATTCTGAAAATTCAATAGAAAGCGGGGAGATTGAGGGAAAGGATAAATTGAAAGATCAGGAAGAAAAAAAGGATTATGAAAGATGTCGAAAGCATAAATATTGATGCAATAAAAAGAAAGAGTAAAATCGATATTAAAAGGGTTTTAGAGAAGACAACAAAAACTTGATATTTCAATTCAAATGATGCTTTAAATAATCTTCTAGATGATTCTAAGGGTGGCTTTGCGCAGGTCATCTTCACTACAGCCTGCTGTACTCATGTTTGACGATCTCCAGCTGCCAGACAGGAAGATCACATTTTTTCTACATAATGAATATCTCAAAGATATATTTTTGAACCCTCGCAAAGTCATTAACAGAAGGAGAATTCAGTTTTCTTTTTTGCTTGCCCAAACACAAATCAAGTTATTTTTAGGTTACAAAAATAGATGTATTTTTCATTTTAGCCACTCCTCAGGACGATATTCGTAATAAACTTGTGTCATCGACAATATTTTAATGCACTGGATTGGATTGCTCTGGTAAGACGCTTTTATTCAGCAATGACAGATGAACGAATGTCAACGTTGCATAATGATTTGACTCATTGAGCCTACATTTACAAATAAACGGGGTATTTTTTTAAAGAGGCTGTGGTGCTTCGTCGGTAGGGGTATTAAAAGATCGGTTTTATCAGCTGAGTTGATAGTGTAAATTTGCTACTGTGAAGAGTTTCTAAGCCGACGTCTCGAGCGTTAGCACTTCGTCAGAAGGAAGAAGAATTGGGGCCAACGCTCGAAAAGTCAACTTTAGGAACTGTTTACGGAGGCCAATTTACATTTTGAAGAGATCTTATTATCTTGTAAATCTATGAATGGTTGAAAATGACAAGAAAACTGAAGTTCTAAATCTATTTTTATATTCCTGTCAAAGAAGAAATGGAAGGAATATATTAAAAGGCTTTTAAAGTAACTTGAGAAACGAGACGATTGCTACCAGATTGGACAATTTTTAAACAATGACGCAACTT